CTTTAATGAAACACAGAGACCCAGACGTAATAGTACTGTATAATATTATTTTCGAATCAATAATTTTTAAAACATTTTTTTTTTTTTTTTTGTTTTTTTTTTTTATAACCATTTTTCCTCCTGGTCTCTCGCGCCCCCCCTGTCATGCCTCTGCGCCCCCCTGGGGGGGCGCGCCCCCCACTTTGAGAACCACTGGGTTATGGCAAGAAAGGATCCGTCTAGTGTAAAACTCTCGCGATAGTTTGCAAGTCACGTGGCTGAATGTTTACGTTTGGCAGGCAGCCTTTCAGTCAGTGGGCCACAGCAAATGATGGTGAGAAGCTAAACTATCTATTAATTATGTCAATTACAGGGAGTGTGATTGTTGAAATAGGGTGTTAGCGGTCCTGCTGGTGTTCAAAGAAGAATGACAACACTGTATATCACCAACACTATGGTTTATTTTTTATTCACAGGCAAGTCAACGTTGTCGCAGTAAAAGTCCCAAGATAGCTCCTGGTGCAATACAATGTTCCCTTTCAGTGTTTTACTATTATGTCTGATGTTTCTCTATTAATATTACTGCTGCATTAATGTGGATGTTGCATGTTACTGCTGTAGGTGTGTTTCCGAGCCGCTCCAACGAGAGTTACAACGAGAACGTGACGTCATATTTAAACAAGACGGATCCTTTCTAGCCATAACCGTGTAGATTTGAGCGGAGACCGGCGGAAAATATGTCTCAAAATTCCGTGTGTGTAAAAAGACGATCCACAAACAGAAATGTGAGATCCACGAGCAGAGATTTGAGATCCGCAAGCGCATTTTTGTTCAACAAATACAAATTGGATTCACAAATGCCTGATCGAAAGCTGTAAATGTTAAAGAGATATTCACAGATCTTTTTTTATTGTGAAAATATTTAGCGTATTTGCAGATCCGCTTTACACTTGCACATTTATTTGTGAGTTTTGCAAATCTTTTAAATGCATTTGTGGATGGTTTTTTACATTTACAAATCACATATTTACAAACAAATAATGTTTATGTTCACACAAATAATTATGAGACATATTTATGCCCATAAATATCTCATACCTAACCTCACACGGCTGTAACGTGTATTCTTGTATTGTATAAGGACTTATTTACGTTCTTGACTTCACATAAGATGAGCTTCAGGAGGAAGAGCATCAAAGATTTTAAAGATATTTTACTTTGCAGGCTAAACGGGCTGATTAAATGCTGCTGTTGTTTCCAACACAAAAGTGCCAGAGACTCTAATCTACCAATTTAGTAAGTTATATAGGATCTTTATTGTAATAGTGTGATGAAGCCAAAATAATGAAATATATGTGTATAGGAGACACCAATACATATAAACAGACTGAAACAAGTTTGATTGAAAGTCATTTATTGAAAGTTATTTCTTTATAAAGATGTCACATAGATAATGACTGCCCCAGAGTATTTTGTTTAATGTGCATGCTGCTTCTTTGAACAGTTGCCATAACAACCACGTCTTCATTAATTGGTAGGTGCAGTCACTCCACACAGTGGAAATGAAATTATAATCCACATTTACTGCCACTGCAAAACTGTATCTATTTTTGAACACTGCTGAAATTATCGTATTTAAAAAAAACAGTCATAAAGACTGAGAGCTGAATTTTGAAAACATGCATCTTATTTCCAGTTCATGTGCAGATTAATTAAGAAAAACACTTTACTCCCTGAGGTGTGCTAGGATAAAGAAAAAAAGAAAATCCCGCACTGAGGCTGTTGTTGCAGAAAATAAAGGTGTTTTGATTGATTTTGAAAATTATAAAGTCATCAAAGCTTAACACACACATGCAGTTTAAATCCCAGGCCAGTTCTGATAACAACGGCAAAGAGATGCAAAAATATTGTCTAAAATGTAAAAAAAAAAGGCACCCTTGAACAACCCATGGTAGTATAAGACTGCCAATGAGCAGTTTACTGGTTTAAGACGTCACGTTGCTCAAGTCAAGTTTGGCACTGATGCATAAAGCAGCTTTTCTGGAAGTGAAATATCTTCCTTTGGACCTCAGCAAACTCCGCTCAGCTGAGAAGAAATGTTCCAGCTGAATAGAGCAAAATGCATGAACGTGCAACTATAGCACGGCAATATGTGTTGAAGAGTCCCCTCTGATGAAGGATCTGTGATATTGGCTGATGAAACTAACACAAGTTTTTTAGGTTTGAGTGCTGAGTGAGGGGGGTGCTGTAGGCGGAATCCCAGTCCCTCTCAAACACGGCCTGCAGCTGTGATTGGACGGTTGTCTCAGAAGACTCTGATGCTGTTTGATTGACGACCAATGCTGAGCCGGCTGTGCTCACAAAGTAGTCCCCAGACCAGTTCGACGTACCTGCAGGCAGAAACACACACACGATTCAGGTCCAGCACTTCTCCATGGCTGATTGGAAGGTGATTTATATTATGGGTGCACAATCAGATTTGATTATTATTATTATATCATTTTAATATTATAATACTTATACACCACTGTGTATATTGTAATATACATGTATATTATACATTTTTTGTGGTACATTGTGCACATTTTTACTCAAACTTCTTATTTCTATATACAAAGGTTTATTCTATTTAATTGTATCTTTTATTGCACACTCTTTATACAACATATTTTATAACTTTTATCGCATAATATAACTTTGTATGAATAGTTGTATTACATTTCAATTTGTATACATATTTATCTGTTATTCATTTGATTCTAAATCGAATCGACTGTCACAAAAGAGTCTCCCCAGGATAGATAAAGTATTGTGTTCATGCAGAGTTTGAGCAGCTTCACCTATGTATGCTATCTTGTCCGTCACCATGTACTTGTTGTGGTTCACTCTGGCAAAGGGAATCTCCTTCTGCTGGGGGGTGGCAGGCACCACAAACAGCCTCTGGGTAAGGGAAACAAAATGTCACTACTTTATTGGTTTACTATAAAATATTAATAAAAACATGTACAACATTCATTCTCAGTAGCAGATACAATCTGATCCCTGGAAGGTTTAATTAAAGTAATCAGTAAAGAGGAAGAGCGACTCACCACCTGGATGTCCAGTCTGCTCTTGGGGTCGTACACGGAGGCCAGAGACTTGAGGAAGGGGAACATGATGGGCTGGGTGCTGGCCCAGCAGCTGATCAGCAGGCGCACTCTGACCCGCTTCTCGTAGCTGACGCGCCTTAGCTGGGTGTCGATGTCGGCCCAGTACCTGCAGATTATAACCACATGAGATATTAACAATGCAAATAACTCATGTCCTAAATCAGTTTGAACTTAATCTATTCTCACAAAAAAAGGTTTAGAATAACCCTGTGCAGCTTCTTGATACTCCCATGAGGCACAGTAACACTTCGTACATTTCAGTTGTTTACATACACTCTGAATAGATTATGATGTAGTAAGAGAATTTCAAATGAGGACTTTTGATTACAAATTTCGGCAGGTGTTTACATTTATTAGAGATTAACCATTAAAGTGACCATCAGCTTTATTTATATAGCACATTTAAAAACAACAGAGTTGACCAAAGTGCTGTACATCAATTAATATATAAAAAAGCAGCATAAATACATTTAGACAAAACCGATAGCACAAAAATCAATCAATCAATGTTTATTTATATAGCCCAATATCACAAATTTTACATTTGTCTCAGTGGTCTTCACAGTTTGTACAGAATATCAGTATGACAATACGACACCCTCTGTCCTTAGAGGGTGAAAAAGAAACTAATGTAAAAGTACGACACAATAAAACCATACTTATAGCCGGCACAGACTGCAAACCCTCATACATGATGTAAAAACATTTTAAAACACAACAAAATAGAAAACCCCAATTTAGAAAAACACAGACTGATACGTCTTATACGTGGTCTGCAAAAGCACGGGAGAACAAGTAGGTCTTTAAACGAGATTTAAAAACATACAAAGTGGGAGCAAGTCTGATCGGGGGGGCAAATGGTTCCAAAGCCTGGGAGCTGCTAAAGCAAAGGCCCTGCCCCCCCGCTGCTTCAACCTCTGGACCACAAGGAGGAATCTGTCAGCAGACCTCAGTGACCGGGAGGATGTAGGGTGTAGGCGTTCTGCCAGGTAAGGTGGGGCCAAACCAGTAAGGGCTTTGTAGGCAAACAATAACATTTTAAAATCGATTCTAAACTTTATTGGAAGCCAGTGTAAAGATGCCAGTACTGGTGTAATGTGCTCGCGCTTGCGTGTTTTCGTGAGTAGGCCAGCAGCAGCATTTAGAAGTAGCTGTAAATGGGAGATGGAAGCCTGGCTAACTCCAACATAGAGAGCATTACAGTAGTCAAGTTTAGTTGTGATAAAACAGTGTATGATCCTCTCAAAGTCGTTAAAAGAAAGGAGCATGTGGCGTAGTGGGTTGTCCCTAGGTGTTCGGGTCAGGGGGTCACAGGTTCAAACCCCACTGCAGTCAGCATGTCGTTGTGTCCCTGGGCAAGACACTTCACCCCAAATTGCTCCTGTGGGGATTGTCCACAGTATTGAGTATATAAGTCGCTTTGGATAAAAGCGTGTAACAAGTAACATCTAATGTAATGAAAGGCTTGACCTTTGATAACATTCGCAGCTGAAAAAAACTGGATTTTACAACAGAATTCATCTGTTTATTCCATTTAAAATCCCGTTCAATCTGCACACCAAGACAGTAAAGTAACAGTGGGTTTTATATATGGGACCAGAGAATCAAGCATAAGTGGGGTCATTTGTTTTCAGGGGCAGCAAGATTTGGGAATCATCTGCATAAAAATGAAATGAGAAGCCATATTTTTTAATGAACCTTGGGGTACCCCATTTGGCAGAGGAGCAGTGGAGGAGCTAAAGTCACCAAGATTCACATTCAAACTTCTTTCAGAGAGGTAGGACTGAAACCAATCTAGAGCAGTACTACTGATTCCCACAGAATGCTTCAGGCGAGAGATAAGAATGCCGTGATCTACAGTGTCGAAGGCAGCTGTAAGGTCTAAAAGTATAAGAACAGCACTGTTACCAGCATCAGTAGCTACAAATAGGTCATTAAAAACTCTTAAAAGGGCACTTTCAGTGCTGTGGAGGGTTTTAAACCCAGACTGGAAAACCTTGAGAATACCATGCACATTTAAAAAAAAAACTGCAACTGTAATATTACTACTTTTTCTAGAATTTTAGACATAAAAGGAAGTTTTGTATATAGGCCTAAAATTTTTCAAAAAAGGTTTGTTTTTCTTACCAAGGGCTGGACAAAGGCTGCTGTTAATTATATTAAGAACATTCATTCCAATAATGTCCCAGATTTCTTAAAAAAATTGTGCTGGGACAACATCATTTGGAGAACCTAAAGCATGCTGCTTCTTTGAACAGTTGCCTTAACAACCATCTTCTTACTAATTGTCGTCTCTCCACACAGTGGAAATTAAATGAGTTTTTATGCATTTACCGCTACTGCAAAGCTTTCAATCTATTGTATACACAGATGGTTTTAGTATGAAATTAATTTAATTAGATTTAATTCAACAGTAATAATGAGTGAGAGCCTGCATCTTATTAACAGTTCAGGCTGAGATGCAAGCAGAAAATAACGATCAAGCTATGTCCTTACTCCCTGTGGTGTGCTACGGAACGGAACTGCAGGACAAACATGTGTGAAACAATCCCATTGTGACTATAGGAGCCAGTTTTAAACATGATTACATCTACGGAGACATCAGACTCAAAACAAAGGTGTTCAGGAGCAGTGTAGCCACAGATGAGGGCGTTCAGGGAGGTGACACTGAGTTCAGTGAGGCTCTACTGAACAGCTGTACCTCTTAGGATGAGAGAACTCCATGGTGGGCAGGTAGTTCATGACAGCGATGTAAATGAAGCTCTGGGCGTCCTCCATCACACTGAGGATGGACTGCAGGTCCCCAGTCCTGCCGGTTCCACAGAAAGATGGAGGGGAGCTCTGAGGGAGAGGAAACACATCTGGGTAAATAACTGTTCATTTCTAACAACATTTTAAAACAATACAGGAGCCTGTTAAGATGTTGAGGAGGAGGAGCAGAGGTTAAGTAATAATGAATTAACCCCTCCTATCTTGTTCGTTTCTCCTCCCTTGCCTTGGAGTTCCCGGTCAAATTTGACTGGTCTGTTTTAACTGCTCTTACATTGACACAAAAACCATTCATCATCACCATATTTTATTTAACACCCTTTTAAGTTATAAACAATGGCTCAGACTACTGGTTGACATGAATAACTGCAGTGAATATAAAAACAATAGACACACATTAAATACACTTAAAGGCACGGACACACCGAGCCGATTTAGGCCGTCGATTTTCATTTAATTTAATTTCAAACCGGAGAGACGTGATGTATGGAATACATATTTATTGTTACACGTCATATAGATGGAATAATTGCCATGATAATACAACAAGAGAATGAAATGGTGTTTGGCGATTAGGCCCCGGTTTGCAGGATAATCATTCAGGAGGGAAAGAACCGCTCCGATGAAAATCCCCGGGGTCTAGACACTGGTGGTGGTGATAAGTAGGTGGGACCGGTCTGAAGGAGGAAGGTTTAGCTTTGTCCTGGAGGAGACGGGAGGCGAGAGGGGTGGAGGAGGGTTGCGTGTGGTCACCTGAAATGACAACTGACAGGAAGGAAGAGCAGGCATTTAAGGAATTTAACGTGTGCAGCAATTGGCTGCTGAGGGGTGACGCCCACATGTTTAATGAGTGGGGCGAGAGCAATAGAGTGACGTGTAAGTGACTCATGGTTAGGTCTTCCTTATTGAACTTGCGCTAAAGCTTTCATTTCAAACCGGAGAGACGTGATGTATGGAATACATATTTATTGTTACACGTCCAGTGGTAGCTCGCGATCGACGTGTTGGCAACCCCTGCCCTAGCCCAATAGGGAACGTAATAATAATACAACAGGAGAATGGAATGGTGTTTGGCGATTAGGCCCCGGTTTGCAGGATAATCATTCAGGAGGGAAAGAACCGCTCCGATGAAAATCCCCAAAACCAGTGAAGTATAAAATACTGAGATGAACTGAGTTTCTTACCTTGTAGGGTGACTGTGGTGATCTGGGGAGGAAATAATAGATTAATATGTGTATGCGGCAGGGGGCCGGAATCACTGCCGGAGCTTACGGGTCATGCTGAGACTCTGACTGCCGAAATCAGTGCCGGTCTTATCTGAAAACGACCTGAGGGTCGCCTGCCTGGCTAGCAGGGCTTGACTACGCCGCCAAGAAGGTTGAACGTCCTGCCGAAGCAGGGATCTTGTTTATGACGGAAACCGAAGTTTACGGTGGCCCACAGCCACGAGACCGAAGTCTACGGGGACCCGCAGTCCACAAGACCGAAGTCTACGGGGACACACGGTCCCTTCTTCTTCTCTTTTACTCTCTCTTCTTTCTTTTCTCTCTTTCTTTTCCTCTCTTCTCTTATGACCTGACGTCGCAGGGTATGCATTTTTACACAGACACATTTGAGCACAGGCCTGGGATTAGATACCTGCGTGCAGAAGAATGTAGCCCGTGACGTGTAGATGCAACATGAGACGAGACATTATTCCCTGTGGGCGGGAGCCCGCGGACTAGGATAGGGATGCAGTTTGAAATCCGATACCATAATGAAACATGTATGCTTGTAAACGTGTTATGAACCACCACCAGTTATATGCGTAAATACCGTAGTTAGGGTCTGAGAGATCGTTGGATGGCCAGCACGGCGCTGATGTCCGGGCGAGTGTAGGTTGTGAAGGCGGAGGAGGACCACCGTCCTAGTTGTTGTAGGGATGAGGTAGAGAGACCTTGATTAGCAGCAGGGGGGGCTGCACCTATCCTGAAGGAATGTCCCGAGTATGATATAGGAGATAGGCCGGATTGAATGAGAACTTGCTTGAGGTA